ATCAGCAACCCTAAACATCTCAAGATACAAAAAAAGGCCTCATTGTCTTTCTGCGTTTCACAGCTCATAGAATAAAAAGCCCCATGCCGTTTCCAGACTGTTAAATCGCTCGTTTCACTACGTGGCGTAATTGGCACAAATTGCTCTCCAGGTGAACGTGGAGGCTGTTGTTTAAGACGGTGTCCCTCGCGTTGCATCACTGTGATCTTAATTAGCTCACCTGTCGGCCTTTATCCTCCACGGACGCCACCTTAAGTGATCACGCTCCGCTGGGCTGCTGCTGTTCTCTGAGTCTCAGACACACTCTTTTATCAGAAGAGGGAAACACATGCTTCACCCCATTAAAGAGCAGGCCTGTCAGATGAGCTCAGTACCAACAATTCCACTGTAATATTCAAAAGTTTAGGGTCAGCTAGATTTATAGTATTTATTTGTTTATTTATTTCATATATATTTATTTTATATTTGTTTATTCTTTTATTTAATATGTATTTATTTATTTAATTTGATATTTTATATGTACTTGTTTTATTATTTATTTATTTATTTATTTGGGAAATATGCACAATTACAGAAATTGACATATTGTTAAAGTTTAGGATCAACTAGATTAAAAAATGTTTTATGTATTTTATATTTATGTATTTATATTTGTTTGCTTATTTATTTATTAAAAATATCCTTTTTAAAAGTACACAAGGGTAGTGAGAATTACACTGAAAGGTTGATGCGTTGGCATGCAATTTGTGAATCTGTGTTTGTAAACGTTACGTACTGTAGTGCACTAAATGATTGTTTAAGGCCATTTGATGATGATTTTTAGTCCTCATACATTAGACGTCCATCTGCTTTTCATCAGTGGCATGCAGTCTAAACAGTCTCTCATTTTGTGTAGGGCTGAACAATATATCGCTTCCACATCAATATCGCAATGTGCGACTCTGCAATAATCACATCGCAGGATCTGCAATGTCAAGTTGGGATTATAATTAACCAGAAAACACAGTTCAGAACACGTGATTTGTGGAGTCGTAATTTTATTAACTCTAATAATGTCAAATATTTTTTTTGTATGTCTTTTTTAAGGCCTGTGACTGTAAGATTTCAAGAAATAACAAGAAATGATTAAGTTTGCCACTTTAACGAAGATTGATTGGTTTTAAATATTAATATAAAAAAGTATTTGCAGTGTTATTTTACATTTGATTTTTGAATTTCTATACCTCAATATACTGTAGTTAGACTCCCCAAAAAACAATGAAGTGTTTTTGTAGCGCCCTCACCGCCTGATGAGCGACAATAATGTTATTTAAAACTCAGGAAACAAGGAGCTGCTGCTGCTTCATGTCAGAGTCTGTGTATTGTTTATATATTTATTTATTTTTTTTAATGAATGCACTAAACAGTACTTTTACGACATGAATCGACATGAATTTACATTTGTAAACCTCTTCACATATATTATATTTACATACATATTTCCTGCACATTACTGTTAAACATTACTATAAAATCATTATAGAATTCTTCATAAACGAACTATTCATAATTTAATTGTCATATAATACACACATAGCCATATAACCCGCCTACACATATATTTCTCTTTATATATGTATATATACATTGTAACCAACAATGAGAGCTATATTATACAATCACTCGACCGTTTTTTTAATATACATTTAAATGATCACTGTTGCTGTTAGAATTACAGTGCAGAGCTTATGGCACACACAGTTAATACAAACTCCTATATATATATATATATGAGAGCAATATCACTTGAGTAACAGTACGGTATGGCTTTGTATCGGCACTGGTGGGAGGCGTGCGTTGGCACGAGGCCACAGGCAGAGTGCCTTAGCATCCCGCTAGTGCTGATATACAGTCATATTGCACTGCTACTTGTGTGATATTATGTTTATACAACAGTTTGATGGCACAATCGTGTATATAAAGAAGAAAATTAAACACAGACAGTCTAAAAACCCCCTTTTATTAGGAACTACTTCCCCCATTCATTCACATTTGCTGCTGATGTCAGAACAGCAGAAGCCATTACTAATTCACCAACGTCACTTGAGGCGCAGATAACGTACTGTAATGTCTAAAGTAATGACAAAACAGCTGATTTTGCTCACACTTTAAGATTATAAGGCTGAACGTGACATGAAATGCCATCCATCTACAGAGATATCTTCTTACAGTGTTACAGTCTACAGTATTTCTGTTGCAATCGGGATGTCACAATAATTAACCCCCAATAAAGCAACGCAATCACTACCAGACTGCTGTTGTGTTTGCAATAAGGAAAAACACCAAACAAATGCAGACTTTGCTTCTTTATGTCTGCCAACACAAAACTGGGAGAACTGGGATAGGATGCAGCGGGTTTGGGGCGGCCGCTGCTATTGGGTACTGTACCAAAGTTGGCAACCCGGGGATGTTTACAGACTGTACCAAAGAGGGGGGTCGGTGAAATTAAGTACCCCAGATTAATAAAGGGGCTAAGCCGAAAAGAAAATGAATGAACGAATGAGTCTTAAATATAATTTTTTGTTTAAATTCAGCCCACTTACCTTAAAAACAATAAGTAAATCCAATGTATATAATTGTTTTCAGTGTATGAAGTGTCACCAGGAAACTTGAGTAAATGCAGATTGTGCAGCATACTGCAGAGCAGGTCAAGTGTTTTGACCCTTCTTGTATGGAGTTGCACATCTTACTCCTGATTGAACATAGAAGCGCTGTGTCACTGAGATCAGAAGCAGTGTCCCGTTAACAGAGCACCGCAGACCTCAGGGGGACCCCGGAGCTGACGGAGGTGCCAAACTCTTTCATTAATTTCATTTCATTTCATTTGATTTAATTAGTGATGGATTTCCTTTGCGTCCACATGCGTGGGTTGGTTGCCAGCGTTACTGCCGATGTCAACAGGCTTTTGTGACATCGAAGCAAAAATCTGCTTTATGTTGGCAGCCATTAGTGGTATTAATTGAAGTGTACACTGATTAACATTCGACCTGTTATGAGGACGTAATTATAAGCAAGAGCTTTCCTGAAACTTAACCTTTTGTGTGTTTCACTATTTGTAATAAGAGTGCTTTTTTATATAATAATAACTCCATTAAGTTACTTTAGGTGTGGTTAATTGCACAATTACTAGATTTTATTTTGCAATTTTTATCAAAAGTTAACCTTAAACTGTTTAAGATTTTTATCTTCTGTATTATTATTAGTATTATTATTATTATTATCATCATCATCATTATTATTATTATTATTATTATTGTTATTAGTAGTAGTAGTAGTAGTAGTAGTAGTATTAGTAGTAGTATTAGTATTAATAAATTTTACCTTATGTATTATTTATTGTTACTGATGTCTTTTTATGGTTATAAATCTTTTATCATTAAGTGTATTTGGTGAACGTGTTGTCCTGATAATCCTCTACTACTAAAAAGATAGGTCTTTAATCTAGTTTTGAACTGAGAGAGTGTGTCTGAGCTTCTTACATTATCAGGAAAGCTATTCCAGAGTTTAGGAGCCATAAATGAGAAGGCTCAAACCTCCTTTAGTAGACTTTTCTATTTTGGGTACTACCAAAAGCCCTGAGTTTTGAGATCTTGAAGAGCGTGTTGGATTGTAGCGAGACAGGAGGTTGGATACATAAACAGAAGCTAGATTATTTAAAACTTTATAGGTTAGAAGCAATATTTTATAATCAATATGGAACTTAACACGCCAGAAATAGCCAGAAAAGCCCATATGGCAATAATTTCAAAACTCTCTCTCACTAGATTTTATATATAAATAAATAAACAATTAAATTGAAAAATATATATAAATATTAAAAAAACTTCAAAAATTGGGGGTCACCAATTCATAAAAATATATTAAAGTATTTTGGTCAAATATTTTACGTTTAAAAAAACTAATTATTTTGAAATGGTATACTTTTTAAACAAGGCTCATTGGAAATCCATACCTCATTTTACATACCTCAAATGTAAAATATGTTACTCTCTGTATATTTTGTTGCACGTTTAATATGACAAATTCACTGTCTACATTTTGAATCTTAAGGATGTTACCTGGGGTTCATTTTGTTGAACCACTGACCACTGAAGCCCTTCCCTAAACCCAACCCATAGTGTTTTCAAAAGCAAATGTCAAAGAAAAATCCAATGTGACCACATAGTTTTACCATGATTTTAACATTTGCTTATAACTCTTATGTGGAACCGTGCATGACCAGTCTCAAACATAAGTGCTCTTCATCACAAGCAAAACACTGTACAAAGTGAGCTGAAATGTATAAAGATATATGTACATTATATACAGTAGGTGAGGCGAATGCATTAGATTACAACGCATAGACATTAAGTTGTTTTATGGTGTTTATTCAACAGTTTGTGCAACAAAAATACACAACAGCTCTTTTATATTTTTATACTTTGTACCTTTTTCTGCAACCACATACGTCTTTACATAGTTTATATTAGCTTTTATTTTCTTTAATTTTTTTACTTCTATTTCTCCAAATGTAGGTTCTTGTTTTTGTTGTTATTATTATTATTATTAATATTATTATTATTATTATTTGTGATGGTTGTTTAAGCATTTCACTGCATGTCATACTGTGTGCATAACTTTGTATGTGACAAATCAAATTTTAATAAGGTTTTAAATGTTATATAAATGTAGTATAATAATTTATTTATTGGTAATATGTCCTTGTAAATTTCATTAGTCTGAAAAGGAACAGGTGTTTTTTTTTGCATTATACCACCCCCTAGTGTTCGTTTTACCTTGAAACTGCAATCAAATGTACGTTGAAAAACATTACACACAAAAATGTAGGCGGAAGACATGGGTTGGTTCTTTGAGGTTCACTTATACTTTTATCAAGACTTTTGTATAATTTAGAAGTGATTGTACTTTTTCAGTCCTGTTTTAACGTTTACTAATGTGTTGTTGGTCTCATGTTTTCTCAGTTCATTACCATCACCGTATCTTGCTCTCCTGAAGTCCATCCAGACGCTCATCCAGAAAGAGGGATTTGATGGCTCAACACCACAGGTTGGTTACCATTTATTTAGCTGTCTGTTTTCCTCTATTTCACTTTAGGACCAGCTGGTTTTATTCTGCATTTTTACTGATCTAGCTACAGGAGGTCAGCCAAGAGACGTTAAAGGGATAGTTTACCCAAAACTGAAAATTCTGCCATCATTCACTCAAACTTCACTGGTTCCAAACCTATTTGAGCTTCTTTCCTCTGTTGAACACAAAATAAGATATTTTAAAAAATATCCTTCAAAGTATTTGTTTATCCTACTATGGAGGTTTTATGGAAGTATAAGGTGATGCCACTCTGTAACGGAAGGGATGCTGAACCATATACTGTAGTTGAGGATCCACATGCAGTTTATTAACCAGAGAATGGTCCGGTAGGCAGCGGTCAAAACAGGGGCAAACAGAAGCATACAGGTAATCCAAAATGCTTAGTCAAAGACAGGCAAATTGTCAGGACAGGTGGCAAAAACAGCAGAAACAATGAAACAGTGCAAAGGGTCAAAAACACAGCAAGACAAGACAAGAAAATGCTTCATGGTGTTGCAATAACAAGACTTGGCAAGTGTGTGTGTGTGTGTGTGTGTGTGTGTGTGTGTGTGTGTGTGTGTGTGTGTGTGTGTGTGTGTGTGTGTGTGTGTGTGTGTGTGTGTGTGTGTGTGTGTGTGTGTGTGTGTGTGTGTGTGTGTGTGTGTGTGTGTGTGTGTGTGTGTGTGTGCGCGATGTGTTACAGTCCTGGTAATCGGTGAAAATAAGTTTTAGCTGCGTGTATAAATGAGAGTCTGTATTATTGTGAGCTGTTACAATTGACAAAACTTAAAAAGTAAAATTTTTATGTAGGACTGGACTGAATATTAGCTTTTCAACAATTAATTGCAAAAAGAAAATTTGATACAGCTTAATTTGGTACTAAGCATCCGTTTTAGGCCCTGCACTCAGAGGAATGACTTTTGCTTCTTGTTTAAACTCATCAACGATTCTCTCATATCGCATCCTTTATAGTCCATACTGTATGATTGTCATCCCTTTGTGCACGAGCACCAATTTGCCTGTGATTTTAGGCATTTGTTGCCGATTTTCACAAAATTTATCGGCGAGTCAAAATCAGAGCTATAATCATGCAGTCTGAACTCGGCATTATTGGTTTTAGTTGTCCCCTAAAAATGTAAGAATTGTATTTTAGCTCATTTACCATTAAAACATTTTTTTGAATGTGCAAAAATGAACTGCAAAATTTTAGACACACTCAAGTTGTTCTTAACCGTCATGCAACTGCCCTTTAAGCTGAGTCTGTAATGAAATGCTCAGTTTCAACACTCTCCATCACTTGCACCCCTGGAACAATGAGCACGTTTTGCTGAAGGCAGTGTTTTACAAGACTCTTAATTTGTCTTTCATTGATTGGCTAATTGTTGCTTGTTTTGTTTATTGCCTCGCTCCCTACTGCAATGTGGCTTTCATAGCTTGTGATGAACACAAAGTAGGAAAAGGACTTCAAAAATAAAAGCAGTGTGTCTTCTTTTCCACTCCACCTTTTTCCTCTCCTCAGTTGTCAGTTTGTCGGTGTTGTGCTTGAATCGCTCTCAGGAGGGAGATGGGCTTCCCTTGGGCTCGTCTTCTTTAAAGCTGAGTCCTATTAGTTTTTGTGGTAAACAGGCCAAGACAGACACTGGGCAATATGCCCTCTGTCTGTTCATATTCATTAGCTCCTACTGAGAAGCAGGGGAGGCGGGTCCCTCTGGGGGCCCCTCTCAGAAATGGCCCCCTGATAGACTGTGTCTTGACTTCCACCTCAGCATTACTGCGTCTGCCATGCCGCCTGAGGATACACTCGCTATTTTTAATCAGTTTCCAACTTTATGTGGCTCTAATGTGGCTTCTGTCATGTGGCGAGCTCCAGAGATGATCTCCAGACCAAACTCTGTCTGCTTTGTGCAATTTCATTTGGTTTTGTTGTTTAGATTTCTGTTGTTGTTTTATTTTCAGCACTTTTCAATGAAGAATAAGATGGTCTTAACATTTATTTTATTTTATTTTGTTTTGTTTTGTTTTTTTATGTTAACAAATTATTTAGATGAGAATAGTTTTTTGTTTCTTTTTTATTTTAGTTTTCATAACTTACTACGGTTCTAGTGCAGTAAATAGTGTTACTAAAGAATTAGAAGGTGTGTTTTTATTTATTTGTTTAACTTTTTTTTTTCCTCTTTGTTTTAACATTTTCTTTTTTTAAATTTGATGTAATTCTAAATTCATAAACAGTGGGGAAAGTAAGTATTGAACGCGTCACAATTTTTGTCAGAAAACATATTTCTAAAGGTGCTGTTGACTTGAAACTTTCATCAGGGGCCTGTTTCAGTAAGGAGGTTCAACCAACTCTGAGTTTAAACTTGAACTCTGAGTTGACTTAATGAGAGATGAAAAACTCAAGAGTTTTCAGTTTCAGAACAGCTGATCTGAGTTAGGTCAATCAACTTTAAGGTAGACCAACTCAGAGTTAAGCGTGCTTATAACTATAAAAAGGCATTATCAATGGAGCACAGATATTACGAGTCATTATGGCAACATCAAATAAGAAAAACAGAGACAGTTAGCGTAGGAAAACATAGCTGCTTAAGTTAATGCATAATTTTACATCTTAAATATTTAAGTATAATAAAGTAATGTTGTGTGACGTTTATAATATTTTTACACACTTTCCCACTTTGATACACGTTTATCAGTTTTAACAGATTTAAAAGTGCACTTGTGTGTCTGCCTCTATTATTCAAATCAAATCACTTTTATTTATTGATCAAGTGATAGAGGTTGATATGACATTTAGAATGTAGCAGTACTAAACAATAGTTTTTAGAACATGTAATGTTCCCTTTAATCTAGTTTCAGATTATGTCGATTGTCAAAGGTCAGTTAATTTAAGCTAATTATTTATTAAAAAGGACAAGCCATTTTTGTACGTGAATTGTTCTTTGTGTGACTGAAATGTAGGCAATAGCTATGTTTTCATCCAAAAATATTAATTAAATTTATGTGCAAAACTGGAATAACGCAAAAAGATGAAAATAAAGCAGCGCTTTCATCCAGTTAATCAAACAGAACAAAAGCATCACTTTCTGATTAACTGGCAACAAATATCAACAGTAAAAACAGAATTTACTGAGGTAGAAGAAGCTGCGTCAATCTTTTCATTATTTAAAAAAGGAACTTGTGCCAAGACAACGTTGAAACGCAATGAACGCGTGGAGGCGTTTGAAGCCAGGAGACATGGAGAACAGACGCTCTTGACATGCTCCAGACACTTTGGAGGTAATTAATAATATACATTAATACTAAAACAGTTAAAGCGTAGAATGACCAAAACAACATTTAAGATGTTTTACAGTGTGCTCTGCCTGCTGGTTTTTCCATTCACACACATTTTCATCATCATATAATCTCTTATAACAAACCTTTTTTTAATGCATATACTGGAATTTGTTCAGTGTTTCCTTCACAGTTTAAGCGCATCTTTTCTTATCAAATAAAAAGTTTATCCTACTCAGTTATGCGCATAGGTTTTTATGCCTATTTTCAAAAGTTATGTGCATCATGACGTTTCCATCAATCGTTTTCTCAATCTCTAAAATGCGCATTTAAATAGGTCGGAGGAAACGTAAGGTCTAAGGTGAGAAATACCGCTTTGTCTTAAAAAAGGGAGGAGACCGATAGAAACTCAGAGTTTAGAGAATAAAACATGCTCCTGACCAGGTTAAGTTCCACATGCAGTAACTGACTGAGTTAAAGTTACCTCTCTTTCAGAAACAGGCTTGACTTACCATGCTTTCTCCAGTTTGACAAACCTGTCATTTTGAAATGGAAAACCCAGAGTTTCTCTCATTTCAGGGTTAAAATAGGGTTTTCACTTAACCTCCTTTCTGAAAAAGGCCCCAGTTGTTAATAGCAACCAAAAAAATCTATGGGCTCTATTTTGACGGTCCATGCGCAGAGCGCAAAACGCAGGGCGCAATCGCTTTTTTGCAATTTAAGGATGGGAAAATCTGCTTTGCGCCATGGCACATGGTCTAAAAGGGTTGAGTTTATTTTCTTAATGAGTTATAGGTGTGTTTTCAGAATAAACCAATTAGAGTCTCATCTCCCATTCCCTTTAAGAGCCAGCTGCGTCGCGCCATAAGAGCATTCGCTATTTACAGGACGTAAAGTAAGTCTAAGTGGAAAAACTGAGCATTTCACTAGCAAACAGTTAACAGTTTTTTACAGAAAACTGTTAAACAGAGCATCTACTGCGTGAGAATGAGAGATAATGGATCTACTTTCATTTTCGCTTTTGGATAGAGAAACCTTTATGCACAGACATCAATTAGTCTATTAATAATTAATTGTGTTTGTTAAGCGCAAATATTCGTTTCAAAACTATTTCTAAATTCAGTTCTAATTTCCAGCAAACGAATAAATGAACAACAATAACAAAGTGTGTTCAAAAACCTGAGTTCTTTCCTAAAAAACATGCTGTGCCCCATACTGTCGAAAAGGTGGGCAAATCTAAGCTTGTTTTTATAAAACAAATATAAATATGGATATAATAAATAACACTGCTAATAATAATAACATTATACAAAAGCAAATTGTTATGAATGAACTGAAAAAGCCTCCCGAGATGAAGAAGACATAAAAGCAGTGATTTTTTTTCATATTTATGTAGGCTAGAAAATAATATGTTTTGTAATATTTTAATCCTTTATATTTATATTCTATATATATTCTTATTATAACCTATATATATTCTTAATATTTACATTTTTTCATATGTAAAGATATTTGCCTATTGCTCTCTTGTGCGTATTAAGCAGTGCGTAAGCGAGGCGCAACTCTGCATCGGAGATTAGACCGGGTTTCTTTTGGTCTAATGAAAAATCTATTTTAGTTTCTCAAAATAGCAACGCGCCAGCAGTGCGCCTCAGAACGCCTTCCTTTTTAGACCAGACCGCCTATGGGCGCACAAATGAGCGCAAATG